AACATGGTCACATGGCTATACCTAGCAGTGAGGGAGGCAAGGAAATGGACTCTAGCTGTGTGTCCAAAGTGGTGACTGGAGAATTGGTTTGGTGGACAGTCAGTGCTTTCTGCCACAGTCAACTTCTCTGGCTACATATATCCATACATACCCTTCTTCACACTCATCATCTCCCCCAAAGAGATGACCCCAAATCCTACGCAGTTACTGCATTCATCACAAAGTTTAAGAACTCTGAATGCTGTATAGTCCAATCCATTAAATTCTGATATGGTTCTTTATGGTTTGATGACCTATGCACTAAACAATGTTACCTGCTCCTGTCCACCCACCCACCCAGAACAAGTTAGTGGAGCAGGGAAGGACAGCAGCAATGCAAACTTACATTTGGAAAAGAGAGAATGGACACACACCAAATCTTACACCACACACAAAAATAAAATCCTGATGGATCCACATCTAAACATGAAATATCTGAGCACAAAAGGTTGAACCATGAAATATTAGAAGGCACTATAGGAAAATAGGTTTTAATTATGGATTAGGGAGGCCTCCTGAGCATGACACAATATCCAGAAATCTTAAAGTAAAAAATGAACAGATTGGTCCTCATAAAAATGTAAAATTTTTGTATAAGGGAAGGTACCTTAAATAAAATTAAAAGGCATATGTAACAGATATCTACAACATAGGTAAAAATTAGTTAATATCTCTAATATCAATAAGAAAAAGGCAAACAACCCAAAATAAAAGTGGAAGCTTTTGCCTTCAAAATGGGAAACTAATTGCACACAGCGATGTTCCCTCCTTCCCCAATCCCCTCTATCCTTCCACTCTAAGCCTAGATTTCTTTTTTAAGTATGGAAATACATACTTTTTTCTATAAATTCAAAGAGAAATTTTTGGATAATCAAAATTATGAGAAATTTCTAAGAGTCAAAAAGTACACAGGATAAGTTTGAAGAGGTTAATTGCAGCCTGGAATGTGTGGGGGAGCCTTTTTGAAAGTACTACCACAGAAGATGGGAGCATCACCAAGTTCCTCATGCCTACAGGTGGTAGGAGCGAGGAGCAGGGAGGAGGGATTCAATGCAAATGACAGGGAAATGAGTCAGGGTACCCACACTTGTAATGCCATGTACATCCCACTCTCTTCCTCTCCACCCATTCAGGTCTGTCTCTGGCAGGAGCTGAGCTGAAGGAAAGGCAGGGCCTGGCAATGCCCAGATAGAATGACTAAGCCCAGAATACTGACCTCTGAGATATTCCACCCAGGATACATCCCACCTTTTCCCCATTCTCACTGAAAACAGTGGGGAGCACAAACCTCAATAGTTATTTCTACACTTCCCTGAAGGCCATCTGTGGGAATAGAAGTATAAATTGTCCAGCAGGAGATCCAAACCACAAAGATGAGCCCACAGTCAAAAATCACCCACATCTGGCATGCAGCCACCATGAAAAATAGATAACAACACAACAGAATTACAGCTACAAAAAGGTTAATAAAGTGATAAGAAAAAAACTTTAAAACGAGTTTAATTAGTGTCTTCAGATACACGATGACATTGCAATAATGAATCAGGAGTGATCTGTTATAAAACAAACCATGGACAAACCTTGGAAATAAAAAATGTAGTTATTGAAATAAAAACTTCAGTAGATATGAAGTGAAATAGACACAGCTGAAAAGGAAATTAAGTATTTGGAAGACAGCCTAGGAATGCAGCACAGGGTAAGAAAAAGATGAAAACTTAAGAGAAATGGAAGAGAGTCCTCTAAGTCATAGTGTCTATCTAATAGAGAATAATGAGAATAGAAGGCAGATAAAATCTGAAGAAATAATAGCATGGAATTTTTTATAGTTGGAGAAACATATAAATCCTCAGATTGAAATGGTGCACCAACTACAGAGCAAGATTAAGATCAATAAACACAAAACAAAGACAAAAGGCCCCACACCTGTACAAAGGTAATGCAAGTTCAAAGCATTAAGTAGATAGTCCATGTGCTAAAAGCTACAAGGATAAAGAAACTGCTGAAGCTTCCAGAGAGAATGAAAAAAAGATTCTTGAAAGTAATTCTAATCATATTTGGCATTAGATGTTTCATCAATGATACTGAATGAAAAAAGACGTTGGAGCAATATCTTTAGTTTGCTGAAGGAAAAGAAGTTCAAATCTGAATTCCTATATTCAGCTTTAATATTATTGAAATGTGAGGATGAAAGATTTTTTTTCAAAAATCCAAGAATTCAGAGTTTTATTAACCCAATAGATCCTCTCCTAAAGCTGAAAGAACTACTAGAGAATATACAAAGAGAATGAATCCAGGATTTAACAACAAGCTGTAGTAGTTAGCAAAAAAACAATAAAACTATTTTTTCTATGAGATATGATTATAAAACTATTTTTTTAGAAAATCCAGTGCCAACATTTCAGATTATGTCAACATGGGATGTGGAAGATGGAGGCAGGGTGCTGATGAAGGATTTAGGAAAATAAAAGCGTTATAAGATTCATCAAAGAAATCAATGGATAGTGATTAACTTCAGATACTATAAGAGAAGTATAAATTTAACCACTTATGATAAAAATTTAAGTGTAACCACTAGAAGAATAAAAATAGAATGTGTATCATTTTCAAACCAATAAATTAAAAGAGGAACAAAGAAAATTCCATTAATCCATGAAAAGACTGAGAAGGGGAAACAAGAGTATGAGAGAAAGGGCAGTAAATTAAAAACACGAAATAAGATAATAGGAATAAGTCTAAATATATCAAAAATAACAATAAATATGATTTGGATAAATTTGTTTCATAAAAGGTAAAATAGACTGAATTTTTAAGAATCCAGCTATGTGCAGCCTACTAAAGAAAGCCAAAACTGTGATAACGCAAAGTTTGAAAACATATTCCTAGCAAGTATCTACAGAAAGTTAGCAATAGCACCATCAATATCAGACAAAATAGAACTAAAACTCAAAAACATTAAAAATATCAAAAAAGAACATTTCACATAGTTGAATAATTCAACAAGAAGAAATAATAATCATGAACTTAAATGCTCCTAACATCATTTTGAAATACATGAAATATTGGTAAAATCACAGAGAGAAATTAGTAAATCCACATCTGTCTCCCACTATGACATACTATAAGTAAAAATATAGAGTACTTAATATAATTAACAAGTTTATGCTAATAGATAATCAACAGGGAACACATAATTTGTTCATTTACTGAGATAACATTTACAAAAACTGGTCCTACAGAAGAAGGCCAAAGGAAATTACAACAAATTAAAAAAAAAAAAAGATATATAGACTACTTAACTGATCACAGTATATTAAAATCAGAATTTTTTTTAAAGTTGAAAGTTGAATCCAGGCATCTAGATATTTTGTCACTTCTAAATAATTCATTGGTTAAAGAGAATGTCAAAATAGAAGTTTCAAATTATTTAGAAATGAAAATGAAAGCATTCCGTATCAGAACCTATATATTTTGTTCATGGAGACACAAATATGGCTTCAAATACATTACACATTAACCTAAGAAGCTAGGAAATATCCCAAATAAGCCCACAGAAAGCAGAAGGAAAAAATAGAAATAACAAAAGAAGAAACGGATGAAATAGCAAACAACTCCATTTCCTCTGCCTCCTACCTCATTTCTTCTCTCTCGTAGCAAAACTCTTCAAAATAATTGACTATTCTCACTGTCTCCAGTTGTTCTCCATCTTTTTTAAACTCTTCATCAGGCTTCCATCTTCTATACTCCACTAAAACTTATCTTGTTAAGGCCACCGCTTGTACATTTCAACATTAATTTTATTTGGCCCATCAGTGAGTTGATCTTGTAATTTATTTTACAATCTAGGACACTTTTGAGAGTAAAAGGGAGTGTTGTTATTATTACACCTGAAAATAGGCATAAATCGTGTCATATGGTCACCCCACCTATCAGCAGCATTTAACCCTACATCAGTGCCTGGCAGAGAGTGCATAATAAACATTTATTGAATGGATGGAGTTTATCTACTCTGACCCCCCCCCTTTTTTATTCTGTTGTTAATTGAGTAAAATAAAACCTTTGTCAAAGTTAATCAAGACAAACAGAGAGACCAAAAAAAATTAGGAATAAGTGAAAGGTCATAGATACACGTATGTGAAAGATAAAGGAAAGTTATAAGAGAATATAATAACAACCACTTGAAAACTAGATGAAATGACTACGTTTCCTATAATATAAATGATTAAAGTTGGTCAAAGATGGAATAGAAAATCTGAATAAATCAATCACTGTTAAAAAAAATGAAAAAAGTATTTCTCAGCTGTGCTGTAGGGAATTAAGAAAGTGACCTGGATACCTGCTTGGGCTGGCGTTAACAGGGCAGTGAGAAATCCCTTAGGGGAAAGTGGATTTCAGGGACGAGAGTCAGGGCTCTGGACTTCAGCTTCCCCACCCATATGGATATTTGCCAACCTTGTAGAATCTGGATGTTGCTTTTTGAAGGGAGCTGATATATTCCTTTTCACCAAATTTCCATTCCTACTCAGAAATACTAGTCCTCTCCTACTTTGTGGGAAAATTGGGTAAGATAATTAAAGGAGCCTGAACTAGGAGTTAGAAGCCAAATATGTCCTCACTTCACCCAGCCACACGTTGGGGGGTCCAGGCATTCATTTAGCCTTACAGGCTAGAGTTCTTCACCTACAGATGGGAAGGATACTACTAGCCCATTTACCTTGCAGGTTTGTTTTTGGTTTGTTTTTGAAGATTAAAAGAGAATGAACATCTGGTAATGAATAAAGAAGGACATAAGTGGGAGATATTAGCATTAGCTTAAAGGATATGTGTTGAACAAAAATGGAAAAATATGAAGACACAACAGTTGCAATGCATTTACAACACCTTTTCATCTCCAGGCCAGCAGAGCTCAACCAGCTGTGTCCTGCCATTCCGGATGTGCCCTGAGCACGTCTCCTTGTACTTACTTAGGTCCTACACCCACGAGTCAGTATAGCAGCAATTTGTTCAATGTCTGCTCAATAAATGATTCTGAAAGAAAGGGAAAAGGTTAGGGGTAACTTTAATCATAAGGAAAATCCTGTGCTATGTTCATTATTCTCTGAGGAGGACGTCCTCATTATAGAAAGGTTTCCTTTGGAATGACAAAGTGAATAAAAAATTTTGGCATTAAAAAGAAAAACTATACAGAAAGCAGCTTTCTAGGGTGACACCATTTTTTTCAGAAGAATCTAGGAGAGTTTAGAATTTGACATATATTTTTTGCAAAGCTTGGCAATGATTGGTTTTATTCCAATATTTCAAATCTTTGTGAAAAAAGACATGATAAATTAAGATTGTAAAAAAGTTAAGTTTAGTGATAAACTCCCACCACAAAAGCAAAGTACTATATGAAAAGTCTTTGAAATAAAAGAAGAGAGCAGGTGATTCTAATGAAATTTTATCTCTGGGGGCATATATAATCAAACTCCTTTAGTATAAGTGCTTTTTTATTATATTCTTATGTCTTATACATTTGTTTGTATTCAGAGTATTTTATTCTAAGGTTACATATATGGCTGAATAAACTTCTTTGTGTCTATAGATTTTATATTTAGTGGAATATTTGAGTATAAATGTTTTCATCAAACTACCAAATCAATGACAATTTATGAACATGAAGAGCTGAATTAATAAATTCATTTGTGGGCAGGCCTGGTGGTGTAGTGGTTGGGTTCTGCATGCTCCGCTTTGGTGGCCCGGCAGGTTCAGATCCCTGGCACGGACCTATACGACTCATCAATCCACGCTGTGGAGGCGTCCCACATACAAAATAGAGGAAGACAAGCATGGATGTTAGCTCAGGGCCACTCTTCCTTATGCAAAAAGAGGAAGATTGGCAACAGGTGTTAGCTCAGGACAACTCTTCTTCAACAAAAATAAAATGAAATAAATTCATTTGAAGAGAGGAAAACAGCTTCATTTCTCCTTAGCTCTTAAATATTGAACTTTATGTTTTTTTTTTTTGGTGGGGAAGATCAGCCCTGAGCTAATATCCGATGCCAATCCTCCTCTTTTTGCTGAGGAAGACTGGCCCTGCTAACATCTGTGCCCATCTTCCTCCACTTTATATGGGACCCCGCCACAGCATTGCCTGACAAGCAGTGCATCGGTGCGTGCCCAGGATCTGAACCCAGGCCACCAGCAGTGGAACAGGCGCACTTAACTGCTACACCACGGGGCCGGCCCTTGAACTTTATGTTTTCTAAAGTGATATGAAAATGTATTTCTAACATCAAAAATATATAAACATGAAAGAATAAAAATAGGTTTATATCAAGAAGTTAGAGAAGATGAAGCTTGAAAGATAATTTGAAACCAAATGGTATAGGGTCTTGAAAACTTTAGTATGGATGGGACCTCAGAGATTATTTGGTGCTTAATAAATCCCTTAATCTTATTTTCAGAGAAATGAGGCCCCAAGAATCCCTCCAATTTCTTATGAACTCTTCCCAGGTGCACAAACTAGCATTCATAATTAGGAATTTGGCTTATAGACAATGTGTAACCACTGGAGATCTTGAGTTGAATTAAAAGAATGGCACAGTCATAATTGTTTGGGGGAGATCTCTTTTGGTGACTGAGGATCAATCAGGCTGAGGAGATCCTTAAGGCCAGGTAGGAGCCTCTCATAATGTGTCAGATCTGAGGTAACAAAAGCCAAGACAAAAGTGATATCCGAGGAAATAGCAGGAAAAGGAACAGAAATGGAAAAAAAGCTTGGAGTCTCTTGATTTATACCACAGTAGCCTTGCCTCTGCTACTGACTGTATGGCTTACCTTCCCTGATGTTTCATCATCTGCAAAATGGAGTTGAACTAGATGATCTCTAACAGCTCTGGTGTCTGTGACTGAAATGAACATCTGGAAGCAGAAGGTCAAGTTATAGAGATATAGTGCAGATCATATGCCTCTTCCTTTCTGTAAATAGAGTTCATCTGTGGATCCCTGATCCAAGCTAGGCTGATTTTATTCTCTCCCTTGAGAATCTGAGAAACACAAAGATTGGGAGTTTGTAGTTGAGTTGCATTGATGGTAGAATGCTAAATAGAAAGTCTGTGAACGCTTGCCATTGAGATCCCAAAGGTCCTAAGGACTAATTGTTTAAATTTTCCCTGGAAACCATGCAATAGTATATATTCTTCCAGAAAGTTCTCCTTTTTAAGTTAAATTAGCCTAACTTGATTGCTCATGCTTTCAAACAGAAAGATTTTGACTAAACAATGCTTAATAGACTAGATGATAGAAATTTTCTGGCTGTCTTTCAGGAACATGTTCCATCACAGAAATGTTGCCCACTTCCTACCACACACACACACACACACACAACCCAGAAAGTCTATACTTAGGTTACCAAACTTTTGACTCACTTGTCAGCAAAGCACATTTATCCAGAATAGTGAAAAAGTCAAGCAACTAAATATCTCCCTCTCTTAACATTCTATATTTTTGAGGAATATTTTTAGATTTTTAGACTTTGATTATCATTATAACATCATTACTACTAAAAAAAAATAGAGTCTGAAAGTGTTCTATATTGAATGATAAGAGGAAAAATGTCACTGTTGTCATTACTGAACAATTCTCCCAAATGGAGAAAACTTACGTAGTAGGAAGAACACAGTTGCTGTAATCTAAGAGACCAGGTTCAGCATTATACCTCCTGATTTCAACGTATATTACAAAGATGTAGTTGTCAAAACAGTATGGTTTTGGCACAAAAACAGGCACTTGGATCAGAATGGAACAGAATAGAGAACCCAGAAATAAACTCATGCACATATAGTCAATTAATTTATGACAAAGGAGCCAAGAATATACAATGGGGAAAGGATAGTATCTTCAATAAATGGTGATGGGAAAACTGGACAGACTCATGCAAAAGAATGAAACTGGACCCCTATCTTACACCATACACAAAAATCAAGTCAAAGTGGATTAGAGACAAATTTAAGGCCTGAAACTATAAAACTCCTAGAAGAAAACATAGGGAGTAAGATCCTTGACATTCATCTTGGCAATGATCTTTTGAATTTGACACCAAAAGCAAAGGCAACAAAAGCAAAAATAAACAAATGGGACTACAGCAAACCAAAAACTTCTGCACAGCAAAAGAAACATTCAACAAAATGAAAAGGCAACCTATGGAATGGGAGAAAATATTTACAAACAATATATCTGATAGGGAGTTATCTCCCAAAATATATAAAGAACTCCCACAACTCAATAGCAAAAGAAAAAACCCAAAAAATCTGATTAAAATATGGGGAGAGGAATTGAATAGACATTTTTCCAAAAAAGACATACAAATGTCCAGCAGATACATGAAAAGGTGCTCAACATCACTAATCCTCAGGGAAATGCAAATCAAAACCACAATAAATCACCTCACACCTGTTAGAATGGCTATCCTCAAAAAGACAAGAGATAAGTGCTGGCAGGGATATGGAGAAAGGGCACCCTTGTGCACTGTTGGTGGGAATGTAAATAGGTGCAGCCACTATGGAAAACAGTATGGATGTTCCTCAAAAACTTAAAAATAGAACTAACATATCATCCAGCAATCCTACTTCTGGGTCTATATCTTAAGGAAATGAAAAGAGGTTATTGAAGAGATATCTGCACTCGCATGTTCATTGCAGCATTACTCACAATACCAAAGATATGGAAATAACCTAAATGTCCATCAATGGATGAATGGATAAAGATGACGTGGGATATATGTATACAATAGAATATTATTCAGCCACAAGAAAGAAAGAAATCCTGCTGTTTGTGGCAACATGGATAGAACTTGAGGGCATAATGCTGTGTGAAGTAAGTTAGGCAGAGAAAGACAAATACTGCATGGTATCCGTTACATGTGGAATCTTAAAAAAGTCAAACTCATAGAAACAGAAAGTAGAGAAGTGGTTGTCAGGGGCTGGAGGGTGGGGGAAATTGGGAGAGGTTGATAAAAGGGTACAAACTTGCAGTTATAAAATAAATAAGGATCTAATGTATAACATGGTGACTATAGTTGATAACACTGTAGTGTATAATTGAAAGTTGCTGGGAGTAGAATTTAAATGTTCTCACCAAATATGTGTATGTGTATATATATATATATATATAAAAACATATAAAAGTATATGAAGTGATGAATGTGTTAATTAACTAGACGGGAGGAATCCTTTTACAATGTATATATATATCAAATCATTATGATGTACACTTTAAATATCTTACAGATTTATTTGTCAATTATAACTCAATAAAGCTGAAAGAAAAAACAAAGAGAGACCAGGTTCAAATACTGGCTTGGCTCCTTCCCAGCTGTGTAACCCTGGTATTTCACCTGTCTTCGTGGAAGATACCCATTCAAGACAGCCTTCAGCATTACGACTTTATCCCACTGCCTCAGGCTGATGCTACACTTTCCTCATTGAGAAAACAATAGGGAAAGGATGATCCAGGAGGTCCTAGCTTCATCATTCCTTCAATTGTCTATTTATTTGTTTTGTGTTTTGAGGCCCCTATTTTGTAAGGCTCTGAGTATCCTAAGTTCTTTACCCAGTAGGCAGACTTCAGTCAAAATTGACAGTGTACTAGGGACACATCACTCAATTCCAGACCAATGTCAGCTCCCTTAATCTCACCCCTGGGCTCAGGACCCCCTTTGAATAAGGTGAGCAATAAAACAGGGTAAAACTAGAATCTTGCTCCCTCCATCTCTCTCCTAAATTTGCCCTTGATGCCTTCCCTTTCCAAGGCACCGTCACCTGTCTGTTCCAGTACCCAGCACCCTCTGTTTACCGAGAATCCTCATGTAGATGTGTACGTGCTGATATGGAAGCATCAAAGCCAATATTTTACCAATTTTAGAAGCTCTCCCCATTTTCAACCCTTAGCTCCATTAGCTCAAAAAAGCAAGCAACGAGATGAAGACCATACAGTGAGAC